CAAGTCTTGGCATCTGTTCAAGAAGAGATTGAGGAAGAAAAGAGGTTAAGAAACTTGGAAGTAGAAAGAAAAGGTACGAAACTTTTTGCCATACTTGTCCAAATTTGGTTATGTAATCTAAATCTTTATCTTTTTTACAGACGAAGAAATCGCTGAACTCAAAGAGGAGTTGAACAAGGCCAATGAGTTGCTAAAGTCAAAACATGCTGGTTGGTTTATTCTACATGCTTTCCTTCTTTCGGAAAGTAGAAGTTTCAGTACATTTGAATGTGAGCGAGGATGAGCTTGCTGTACTTTCTCCGGCTGCTGTAGAGACTGCCAGACTTCTTCGCGGTGGTCAATCTCTAACAAGTATAGTCCGGTAAGTTTGGTTACGGTGGCGAACGTGTATCTAGTCCTTTCTGATGCTAGGTTTTTTCTCAAGCAGTGATTTTGCAGAGAACATGCTCGTCTCACCGGAGAGCTTGCGGAGGCGCGAGAGCGAAACAAGCAATTGGAGCTAAACCTCCGGGAAATGGTAGAAGAAATCGAGGGTTAGCTGACTTTGTTTTTGTGCAATGAATATGATAACCTGCGCAAATACTGAAATATCTATATCTTCAGAGCGAGCTCCACAATTATTCCATCAAAAGGAGCTGTTGGATAAGACGTTTGACCACAACAGCCGACTTCAGGAGCAGCTCAAAGTATGTTTGATATACGGGCTTAAACATACTGGCTTTAACTTCTCATTTTATACAAGTTCTCTGAATCTTAGGAAGCTGACGAAGCTCGCCGTCGCCTAGAGAGTGCTAAAGATGCGACTACGAGAGAACTTGCCTTCACGCGGGCTGAGCTTGAGAAGTACCAAAGGGATTACGCCAAAGTTTCCAAGCAGGTAATGGGGCATGCAATCTTTCCGTCATTGCCATTCGCTGAGTGTCCCTTACGAAATTTCTCTTTTTTGTGGACCCTGCATAATGTAGAACATTGACTCATGTGTGGGTTGAGATTCATTAAGATAGCATGGAAAACCTTTGCTTATTCATCAGCAAACAATCCAAAGCGAATTGTCAAAACGTTATAAATCCGCATTATTAGGTACAACACCTGCTGTTCGTCATGGAGAAAGAGAGGAGAGGAGAAGATGAAGGAATGAATGAAAACGAAGAAGAGAATGCGCGTCTGTTCAGCAACATTGCTCAGCTGCAAAAGTTCGTTCCACACTTTTATATCCCGCTTATTTACATCTGATTTTTTAAAGACACTTTTGCATAAACGGAAGTGTATCGAAGTCAGGGGACACACTTGAAAAAAGTTAGGGTTGTTTAGTATTCGTCAACTCATTTCTCATTTGTTTTTATCCACTTGAATCTAGGTCAACTGATTTTTTCTAGAATAAACCGTCGATTGGAATCGGAACTGGAAGTTGCCAAAACGTCCGCCGAGCAGGTGGTGCTTACGTCGAAGAATGCAGAGTAAGATTTGGTAGATTTCCATAGACTTTTACTAATTTCATCCTTATCATCTTAGAATTGAATGCTTGAAGCGTGAGTTGGACAGTACTCGCAAAGCTGAATCTAGTCTGAAAGTTGAGCTGGAGCAAATGCATACAACATTTGATCTTGTAAGCTTTCTTGATATTTGTTATTTGGTTCGTTCGGTCACGTATCATATACATTATAGCTCCAAAATCAAGCCGATCAACTGAAGAAGTTGGCGGAAGATAATGTTAGCGTAGCTGAAGCAAGAACAGCGAAAATCAAGGCAGAAGAGGCTGCCGCTAAGGTTTGCCAGTTCTATCTGTTTTTGTTTTTCATTTTTCAGATTTCGTTGTTTCGGTGGCTTTTTTCTTTAAAAAATCTGTACTTGTGCTTTTTAGGCCCAAGCAAGTGAACTCAAGGTAGCGCGTTTGGAGGAATACATCAAAGCGCTCAAAGAAGAGAGGGAGATCTCGGATAGGTGGGATCTTAAACAAGCAAGTTTATTGTTTTTCAAATGTCCTTGTGTAGGATCCACAGCGATCGTGCCGCTCGAAATGAGCAAGTGGTTGCGGAGGTTAAGATGACGAACGCTCGTCTTGAGGCTTCGTTTGAACTGCAGAAGCAGACAACAGCCGTGTTTGAGAAGGTTAGACGTTACATCGTCTTTTGCAGTTCAATTCGAAATAAGTAAAATTCCAGGAACTTGAGCGTTCACAAAAGGAGTTTGACCAAATACGCGAGGAGAATGATCGTTTGAGATCCAGTGATGCGAAGATGGCTGGTAAAGTGGAGCAGTTGCAGAATGAGT